TGCCCAGGGGTGGGTGGCAGGGAGAATTCAGACCCAAGTTCCCTGTGCAGGGACCTCTCGGGGGCTCTCGCCTGCATCATGGAAATAAAAATGATAAAAACCTACCGCTGAGTTCTGGGCGGCAGTAAATTACTTAACACCTGAAACAGGTTGAAATGTGGCCACGGTGGCTTTTAATAAGCCCGTCTCCGATGCAGCCGCTTCCGCGAGGAGCGACCGGGTCCCTTCTCCAGGCATAATTTCATCGCCTCCCAGGCTTGGCAGCGGCGCAAATAAGATTTCACTTCCCTTGTAAATCTCCGCGGGGGAGCGAGGATCCTCTCTGTGCTGTCAGTTAGCGGCCGAGAGAGCCTGTTCACGGAGCCGCTGGAGGAGGGGGTCCCTCAGAGGCGCCCCCGGGGGGCAGCGGGCGCCGGGAGGCAGGTGCTGGCAGAAGGACCAGGGTGTGGAGGGGGAGGGAGGCGCCAGCGTGTAGCGCGGAGACACTTTGTTGGGGCGCCTGCAACATGGATGAGCCAGACCTCCTGAGGCAGCATTTCGGGGTGGCTGGGTGACCCCGGAAGCTTCTGGTGCCTCCCAGGCCGGGTGCTGGGAACAGACCACAGAACTTGTGGGGTGTGGTTGGGGTGTTAGACTCTTCCTGGGTTTGGGCACCTCCCCTCTCTCTGGCTTGGTGAGGCCAGAGACCCTGTGCAGGGACCTCTCGGGGGCTCTCGCCTGCATCATGGAAATAAAAATGATAAAAACCTACCGCTGAGTTCTGGGCGGCAGTAAATTACTTAACACCTGAAACAGGTTGAAATGTGGCCACGGTGGCTTTTAATAAGCCCGTCTCCGATGCAGCCGCTTCCGCGAGGAGCGACCGGGTCCCTTCTCCAGGCATAATTTCATCGCCTCCCAGGCTTGGCAGCGGCGCAAATAAGATTTCACTTCCCTTGTAAATCTCCGCGGGGGAGCGAGGATCCTCTCTGTGCTGTCAGTTAGCGGCCGAGAGAGCCTGTTCACGGAGCCGCTGGAGGAGGGGGTCCCTCAGAGGCGCCCCCGGGGGGCAGCGGGCGCCGGGAGGCAGGTGCTGGCAGAAGGACCAGGGTGTGGAGGGGGAGGGAGGCGCCAGCGTGTAGCGCGGAGACACTTTGTTGGGGCGCCTGCAACATGGATGAGCCAGACCTCCTGAGGCAGCATTTCGGGGTGGCTGGGTGACCCCGGAAGCTTCTGGTGCCTCCCAGGCCGGGTGCTGGGAACAGATCACAGAACTTGGGTGTGGGGTGTGGTTGGGGTGTTAGACTCTTCCTGGGTTTGGGCACCTCCCCTCTGGGATGCTTGGTGAGGCCAGAGACCCTTCCTGGGAAGTGGAGGCAGGAGGCAGGAAGCTTCTAGAACCTGGTTGTAGCAGGTGAGAGGAGGGTCCAGGTACAAGGGGTAGTGGCCACTACTCTTTCTCCACTTGAACTGAAACTTTTAGTCTAGAGTCGGACCAAACAAGCAGAGTTGGATTCAAGAAGCAGGGGCCCTGGGGTGCCCCTTGACCGCAGGGTGTCACCCCACACCTGCGGGCACCTCAGTGCCGTGCAGGTCCTGAGGTCTCTTTGGGAAGGAAAGGCAGGAAGCTGCATGGCTGGTGTGCGGCACGGCAGGTGCTGCTGCACGGGGAGTGGGGGGCCCAGGTTTGCGAGGAGACCACCCGTTCCCTGAGGCCCACATGGTAGGGAGACAGGGGTGCTTCAGGGTTAGTCGGTCCCTTCCACCTCCCAGAACTCGTGCCCCCCGAGGGCCCGGCCCGCTCTGCTTGCTCCCACCACTGCCTCTCAGAACACCGACGCCTCTTCGGAAAGGGTCCGTTATGTTGGGGGGTCTTCTTTCGCTGCCCTGAAACGTAGATCCTGGAAACACCCAGGGGGCCCGAGAGGCCCTCCTCAGGGCCCACCCTGGTCTGGGCATCCAGCTCCCGCAGGGAACTTACTAACACCTAGATGCCCGCCACGCCCGCCCTCCGGAAGCTGGGAGCTCGGGATCCTCTCTGTAGGCTTCGGAGAGCAGACCTCGGTGTGGGCGGGGTTTGGGGAGCAGGCCCCAGGCTGCCAGGGCGCCTCTGCCGTGCTAGACCTGGGGGCACTGGTTGTGCTGTCCCAGGGTCTGCAGAGACACCCGGCCTCCTTGTACGAATGCCACCCAGCTCAGCGCCTGTCGGGGCTCAGGGATGCTGCCTAAGCCCCGGGCGTGTGGCAAGGATGGAGGCTGGCACTTCACGGACGAGCAGAGGGAACCCCAGCTCACAGGCCTTCACGGTGGCCCGGCACACGCTAGCAGGCTTGACGCTATCATGATAGTAGAAATGAGAGCGATGAGCTCTTACTGTGCACACTCTACAGAGGTGGAAACTGAGGCACAGGGAGTGAGTGCTGGGGCCCGTGGGTCTCACCCAGTTCGGAGGGACGCCAAGGGGCTCCAGGCCTGGTCTGAGGAGCCCTCCAGGACAGCAATAGCTCTAATCCAGTGGTTCCCAAATGCCCGTGACCGCGGACCCTTCCTGGCGGAACCTCCATTAGCTCTAGAGCAGCGGTTCTCAACCACTTTCACAGGGGTCGCCTAAGACCATCGGAAAACACATATATAATGACATATTGTTTTTGTGATTAATCACTATGCTTTAATTATGTTCAATTTGTAACAATGAAATTGGGGGTCACCACAACAGGAGGAACTGTATTAAAGGGTCGCGGCATTAGGGAGGTTGAGAACCGCTGCTCTAGAGGAACACAGTTTGGGAACCCAGCCTTCCTGCTGGGGCTTGAAGAGAACCTTGGGGGCTCCCTGGTTTGTGCACGACTGCCAGTGTGTGGAGGGTGAGGTGAGCTGGCCTCCCCCACTCCTACACCCCCTGCCCTCCTGCGCACCCACTGTGCGCTGGCCCCGGGAGCTCACCTCCTGTGCTGCGCACCCACTGTGCGCTGGCCCCGGGCGCTCACCTCTGTGCTGCGCACCCACTGTGCACTGGCCCCGGGCGCTCACCTCCTGTGCTGCTCTTTGGCCTGGTCCCTTTGGGCTGGCTCTTGCCCTGAGTGGGTGGAAGGATGAGAGAAAGTGGGGGGAGAGGGTTGCCTGTGGGATCAGAGCCTGCCGAGCACCCCAGGAGGGGCACATTCCACCGACAGACATTGAGAAAGAACTTCGCGTCCTTGCAATATAAGGAGAAACTCATTAACCCGCATCCAGACGTGAAATCTATCTGAGGCGGAAGTAATGACTTATGTTAATTTAGCAGAAGCTGCTGCCGTTCTCATGGAGAGTTATTCTTTCCTGATGTGAGATCTCAGATAAGGCCTAAAGGTTGTGAAAGTGGGGGTGTATTTAGAGGCCTGCATCTGGGCAGGGGGTGCCCAGGAAGTGTTCTCCCGGGCAGAGGAAGAGCCCGTATGATCCCAGCCTCATCTGAATGCCCACAGGGTGCCAGCGCCTCATCTGGGATGACCCACAGCTCCTAGTACTGTCTCTCCACGTGGAGACCCTCTTGGAGTTTGCCTTTAGCGGGAGGTCTCCTTCCTGGGGGGCCTGTGGGATGGGGTCAGAGGTCCCTCTCATCTTGGGGCAGAGTCATTCTGGTTCTGATGGTGCCCCAACCCAGAGTCTCTATCCA